AAATCGCTTGGGTATGAACACAAAAGACGCGTCGAAAAACGTCGGCGATAAGCATGCGCGATAATCGTCCCAGTGTGTACGAGGCTTAAGGCTGTTTATCTTGGACAGTTAAGGTATAAAATATAGGAAAGTATTGAAAAAAGAAATATGTGAAAATGAATGATGAATGATGGCAGAATTTTTTTCCATCTTCCATAATTATCAATTGTAATTTAACAGTTTGAAAATAAATATGTGGCATTATTTTATTATTTTAGTTTTTTATTTAAATATTATTGTAAGCTATTAATCCATTCTCCTTACACCGACGTCTGTCTAGCATAGTTTTAATATAAACTCAGTAGCAGCAACTTATGGTGCATATATTGGTTTCGAAAATCCTTGCAAATCATTGCAAAATGTTAAAAGTTAAATTAAACAAAATATATCTAAGCTTTATTGGTGTGTTTATTAAGGATGATGTTCATTATTAACCATTACGTACACCAATAAGTTTCCACTGAATTATTATCAGTTATGTATAGGTCTCATTACATTTAATGGTCCTTACAGAACATACGACTAGAAGTCTTCCATTTCTCATATTCGCTCACTATTATTAGCGATGGAATGAACAGTAAAATGTGTTCAGCAAAACGATTGCACAACTCTAAACTATGTTCATGTTGATCAATGTGTGATTGCTTCCAGGATATAACCCTAACCCTTTCCTGTTATTGTCATGATTTTCCAAACTTTCCATATTTAACCTCTGACCTCAGGAGTAAGCCATCATCCACTCCCGTTTGGAATATCATGTTTAAATCAATATGTTTCAGGCAGCAATTTCAAAGCCTTTAGGTGATGCTATTGAGTTTCCACCCACAACCCTTTTATGCTGTGACTATATGCGGAGGGGTCTTTGATTGCAGCTTAGCTGAGGTATGAAAATGGAACATGGAGAATCCGAAAAAGGGAAAACACGGTTGGCTCCATGGTCTTCTGTGCTTCTCAGAGTGTTGAAATGGAAACCCACTCTCACATCCGCCAAGGCAGTGGCTATTCTTAGAAAGGGCACAGTTGGGACCACATGCATTATTTATGAGGTGGATACACATTCATCTTTCAACCTCTGGGCCACCTCAACTTAATCGCTGTGGCACTAACATACAGAGGTCAAAAATTCAGTTGTAACAAACACAATTACAAACAAAGTGTAACTCAGCAAGGGAAGCCGAAACCAAAGAGACAAGTAGTTGTGCGTCTTTCGAAAACACTCGCGTCTCTCTGGAACTCTACAAAAATGTAGCTGTTTACAAGTAAACAATTAGCATTCGAGCGGATGAAGTGGTCGCTCGGGTTATCGAGCGACATTGACAACAAGTCAGAGGCAGTAATAGTGTGGTGTGTACTAGCGATAGTAGTTGTAGTATTAGTAGTGAACACGTACGCTATTGTAGCTTGCGCTTTTAGGTTACCGCCGTCCCTCAAAGACGGTATTTGCGCAGGAGGTCGGCTTGCCACATGTACTTGCGCTCGGGAAAGTGCTCGGGAATCTTGATCTTGCGGAAGTCCTGGATGCACTTCTCCAGCTCCTCTTCCACAGTCAACTTTTCTTTCGCTGGCCGCTTCTTGCAGGTGCTGGTATCCCGGGAACTTGCGGTGAGCGTCCGGAGAAGGTCGCTCTTGCGACGGTGCTCGGACTGCTGCTGCTGCAGGAGATGCTGAACGGGGCCTTTCTTGGGAGGCCTGTCCAACGTTTGCACATGCGTCTGTCGGCTGACCGGGCCGCGGATGACGGTACCTTGCGGGGAGCTGGCCTCGGAGTGGCTCTCTGAGCTGGAGGTGGAGAGTTCGTTGAAGGAGGTTCCACTCTCACCTTCGCCTTCACCTTTGTGACCCTTGCAGCAGCAGTCGCAAGGTGGAGATGACCAACGAGACGGGCCACCTGGAAAAGAGAAGAGTTCACTCAAGGCCTGAAGGGTGACATGGACATATGTGTATGGAATACTAGTGTACTGCTTACTGTATAATATGTCATGTATAGTACACAGTAGCGTTCTGTCCAACAGAATATTCCGTGTATATGATTTTATTTAATAAATATACAAATGGATGCTGCTTTATTAGCCGCATTTCCACTGTTGGGCCAAGTTCTAGTGTGTGCCAAGGCCAGTCGTGTTTCCACTGTCACTTCCAAAGGCTTGATCTGGCCTCCTCGGGATCAATGGCAAGGGGTTTCTGGCCCGCCGACAGTGGAAAAGCGGCTATTGAGAACTTACTTCTCTATCCCTAGAGCCCAACCCTGCTTGTACCTCTAACCATATGGAACCTGTTAATTAATAAAATTCCAGGAAGAGAACAATAGTTTTTAATGTGGTAACAATATGGGCTGCAAGCATGAGAACAAAGCATCCATTTCAATTAGGCCACATTTATATTACATGGTTCAAGTGACCCAATTGCAATATATTTCCTCTTATTTGGCACAGATCGGATTACACAAACGTGGAAACAGGAAAAAAGCACATGGATTCCCTTATTCTCAGTTTGGTTTCATGCCTCATTCATATGTGGAAATAAATCTGAAAATGAGTTGGACACGTTTATTTGAATCTGCCATTTAAGCGGACAGATTGGATATTCCCGTCAAAGTGAGTAGTACACCTTTAAAAAAGCGACTTTAGTGAATGAAGGCAACTCAGGTGGATATCAACTGTGATCACATGACTCTTTTCAATGGTGCAATGGAGGACGAAGACCTCTAAATGTGGCCTATTAAATACCCACTACCATGTTTATTTCCACTTTTTGAACATTTCCTTTATTTTTACTTAAAATAAATGCAAAAACAATGGTGGGCAGAGCTAGTGTTGCTCGGACAACTTTTAATCCCTTTCACACAAAGTATGATTTACAGAGCCAGAGTTTAGATTAATAATTATGTTGTGAATTCAAAACAATCCTAACATGCTGCAAGATTTGAAAACTGATACTTTTGAATGTTAGCGTCACATATGCAGCTTCATATCTGAAAATGAGTTGGACACGTTTATTTGAATCTGCCATTTAAGCGGACAGATTGGATATTCCCGTCAAAGTGAGTAGTACACCTTTAAAAAAGCGACTTTAGTGAATGAAGGCAACTCAGGTGGATATCAACTGTGATCACATGACTCTTTTCAATGGTGCAATGGAGGACGAAGACCTCTAAATGTGGCCTATTAAATACCCACTACCATGTTTATTTCCACTTTTTGAACATTTCCTTTATTTTTACTTAAAATAAATGCAAAAACAATGGTGGGCAGAGCTAGTGTTGCTCGGACAACTTTTAATCCCTTTCACACAAAGTATGATTTACAGAGCCAGAGTTTAGATTAATAATTATGTTGTGAATTCAAAACAATCATAACATGCTGCAAGATTTGAAAACATACTTTTGAATGTTAGCGTCACATATGCAGCTTCATATGTATGGGTTTTCTAACGGTTTGTTCGGTAGCTTACGCGATTCAATGTTGTACTTGTGAGGTGAACGCTCCGGTACGAGTCCTGTTCTACTACAGTTCCACAAAACAGCTCAAACCCGTGTATAATGAATTTAAAATAGCACAGTTGCATCAGCGAATGCATTTTTATATCACTTTTGCATTCATTAACACTATAGCGTAGGTTTAGGGTTGGGTTTGGTGTAGGGGGATTGTTATTTTCCAAACACAACAGATCACTCCCCGGATATTTGAATTCTGAACCACCGCAATACGTACCTGAAGCAACGTAATAAAAATGCAGCAATACATAGCTGTACTAACGCAATAAAAGTGTAGCCATGGACATGTATTGAATGTGCGTTTTAGCGCCACTCACTGGACACTTCACTTTGAAACTGCCGCGAAATGTAAGGTAAGTAATAACGGTGTTGCAGAAATGTCACCTTGACCACATATTTCCAATGAGCATGGGTTGCTATATTATTGTCATTCTGGAAATAGTGTTACAGTGTTCTGGAAAACCTGTGTTGAAAGCAAAGATCATCTTAGCACCAGTATAATAAGGCTTACTCCACAAAAACATACTGTATGCTTTTATGTCAGCCACAAAGCACCACAATCAGGAGTGTGAGACAGACAACATTCAGCGCTATCCACCTAACAGAGTGAAGCCAATTACACAGGCTGTGTTTTCTAAGGCCTGTCACTGATGAACTATGTCTGTTATTCTCCACCACACTGATCCACGCTATTTCACAACACTGATCCATGTCAGATTTTTAATTATGCAACCTCAATCCATTTGCATTTAATTATGCAGATGAAAGTCGGGGTGCCAAAAATGATTCACAGCGAGAGTGGCGGCACTTGATCAAACCCATTAGCCGCCTATATGAATGTTTATGCACAAAGTCAGGGCCACATAGTTATAATTAAATATAATATAAACGGTAATTGTGCAGTTGTGTCCACCTTCACTGTCAAATTATCATCTTTCAACACAGTAACAAACACAGTAGTGTGCATACAAAATTATCCTACAATCTGGATAAATACATATAATATGAACATATAGTACATAATATCACTGTATATACTTTAATCCCTTTTATTCTAAATGAGATGAAACCTATTTATGTACAATTCGTCGGTCATCCGACGTGACGTCTCCGTTCCCTCCTTCAGGGAACGAGGGTTACCATACGTAACCGAGACGTTATTAGATGTCATTAACAGTTCAGTACATTTGTTGCACCTTCAACTGTAATTTTCATCACAGAATCACAAAATGTCAGCTATAAATATATTTCAAACTTTTATCCGTAGCCTATTAAGAATTAACAAGGTTCACAGGGTGTATAATCATGCTGTAAGTGCCAGAAAGATGTGCCATTTGCAGCAGTGAAACTATTTGGTAGCGCTATTGATCCCACACCAGCAATAGAGACCTTGTATTGCCAACACTGCAATAAAACAGTTGTGCTGTGTTACAAAACACACATCAAACCTCTAGGGATCCACCTCAAGCATATGTGATGAAGTATAAATATGATTTTAAAATGAAAACACAGAGTCCTTTATGCAGTAACAACCGTGGGAGACAATATGCCAATAAATATCAATAGTGCTTAAAACATGACCTATCTTTATTGGGACAGTAAGAGGCCCAGCAAAAATGACAGGAAGTTGCGCTTCTCATTATGTGGCAGAGTCTGTTCTGGAATTAATTTGTGTCACTCAGTATAAAAAGGAACCTTTGATCGATGAGTCGAGGCCTCATAATTGGTACTTTGAAAAATGGCCCCTGACTTGGCAAAACAGCTAAATTAGCTGGTGGCCAATTTTCTTGTCTAAATGGAATTAACAGGATGTGCCAAAGCAGTGTTGACAAATACCATGCTTTTAAAAATGCCTCAGTGAATAATGTAGTCGGTCATGGGAAAATACTGAATAAATTAATTAATGTATATAATAGTATTGAATGCTTTTTTTTTGTATTATTGTGAAACTAAACTCTGCATTAGGGATAGATGATACTAAACTTGTTAAATTCTATATCATACCTATAATTTTTCATACAATTTTAACAATACCGATACCGTTTTTTTACGATGCATTTCAATAAAAAAAAAAAATAATAATAATAATAATAATATATAT